CCCCCCCCCCCCCCCCCCCCCAATTTTCCGAATGGCCATCCCATTTTCCGAATATGTCAAAGTTGGGGGGGTTAACCACCCCCCCAATACCCCCCCTCGCTACGGCCCTGTGTTGATCCTTAAATGCAACCATGGATAGTTAAAAAAACATCATACGTGATCACAAATTTCCTATCCAGTCTTTATTATCCATGCTCTAATATCGAGTCACAGAATAGAGACGGTCGACTGCCACGTGATGATTCGTCATCAAAATGCCGATGCCATGGTCCTAGCCAGTGCTCTTATAAGAGGCATTCACCTCCTGGACGTCCGCCATTTTGAATATTATCAGGGGGGTGATTACCTTCCATAAGCGCACTGGCTAGGACCATGGCGTCAGCATTTTGATGACGAATTACGGCTACGCCAAAATTATAGGGAAAACCAAGAAGTCGATCTTCTGTTTGTCTCTATTTTTTGACCGAGTTCTGTCGAATGTATAAGGTATGACTTTATTTTTCTTGTATTTCAAGCGGCCTGGTGACACCCAGTGGTTTAACGTCAATTCCAGCCGGTATGGAAACTCCTGATATGATTGAACTGCGTAAAAGAAAGAATATTGAAGACGCTATGGAGAGTGGCAGTGAACAACAAACGTTGTATACAGTTTTGCCCGAGAAGAGAGCTGGCGTTGGAGGAATGATGATGGGAACTTCGCATGTCTACGATCTTGCTACGGTAAGGATATGTTTAGAAATACATAGTTACTGTTGTTTGCCCAATTAAGGAAAATAGTCACAAGTATAACCTCATCTGCAGGCGTCGCTTTCAGATTCACAGGCAAAATTTGGTTTCGGGTAAAAAAAAATTTTACAGCCAAGCAACCCAGGTCAACTTGATGCTTGCGAAGAAGGCTAGCGCAGATACACAAGGGAAGTTAAGGTGGCTCCCTGCTATTAGTAGAATTGATTTCTATATAGATCAGTGGTCATCCGCGCGTGTGTTTCCTTTAAAACCTTCTTGCTTTAACACTTGTTTCTTTGTTTTGCAGGCGGCGGCACCGACTGGAACCAGAAAAGTAAGATAAACCGTTTCATTAGAAGTTTGAATTCATAAAATAACCAGAGTTGCAAACAGCTGCAGCTATGCGGGTACCACCCGCGAGGAAGGTTTACCTGAGAAAGATTTATATGTGGAACACTTTACTCAACACTAACACTATAAAACAAATAAAGTAGGAAAAAGTATAGAAGCGATTTTGAATGATATAATTTATATATTTTGCAATTTGAAAAACTCATGATTAACATTACTTTGAGGAAGTTTTGAAACAGGAAGATTGACCCGGAGGAAGATTGAACACTTTTTGCAACTCTGTAACGTACGCGGTTGTACTGCATGCAGCTACTGTCTGTAATATTACCGTTCGCTAATTCCATGTTATGTTTCCAGACACCTGGAGGTTTATCGGAAGGTGTTGAGGTAGCCTTGGATCCCAGTGAATTGGAGCTCGACCCTGCTGCTATGCAAGCCAGGTAAGATGTTGTTACCAAGATGTTTGATGAATGAACCCTTCTGGACTCTGTAATGGACTCTGTAGCTCAGTTGGTTAGAGCGCTGCACCGGCATCGAAGGGCCGCGTGTTCGATTCCTGCCAGGGACCTCGCAGCTGTTCCTGGTTAGGTCTAATAAATATATATAAATTTACACTCGATAATTTCCATCTACAAGGCTCTTCAATTAATCAACGCTCTTCCGATATACATTGGTTTTCATAATCAGGACTGCCGATGCAAAATATTCCCATGGACCTACACGTCATAATTGTGAAACAGGAGAAGCGGTGTTTTACAATATATTGCACTTTATTGAATATTATTCAGCAATGACGCAAGTAGGATTTGTATTCTCGGTTAAGAAATCTTGTATCAAGTAAATTCAAGGGACTTCGTCGTTTTGTGGGCACTTTTGAGTTGGAGGTTCGGGGGAAAAGGCCCCTGCCCCCTCCCCCGGCAGCACTGTCCACAATTGATATATTTTAATCGTCTTATTCAATCAGATACGACGAACAGTTACGGGAACAACAAAACACGCAAAAAGAAGATTTCAGTGACATGGTTGCTGAACACGCCGCCAGACAGCAAAAGGTAAGAAATCATTTCAAACACCCCCTCTCCACATCCCTCCGGTAGTTTCACCCCTATTAAAAATATTTCGATGTGTCATGCGACGGCCCTTCATCGTCCCCGCAACCCACGGCAGTGTATTGTTTGAGTTTGAGCAAATTCGTGATTTTATTTGACAGTGTCAAGAGATTCGATCATTTTTATTCAGCTACATCTTCATTTTTTCAGAAACGCAAAAAGACGACAGATAGCGGAAAGGCTGCAAAGAAATACAAGGAATTCAAGTTTTGAAATTTTGTGCATTTGTCAATTTCCAAAGACGATCTACTTTGGCCTACTTTGTGTATTTTATAGTTTAATATAACTTTTAATTAAATTAAATAATCACCCATAAAGATAGTTTCTTTTTGTGTCTTGTGTCAGTTGTGGGCAAAGTATGCATTTCAAAATTCATGATTTGCTGTGTTGGTGTTGTGTACTCAGGTGAATATGATGTTTGTGATGTTACTGACTCTGACTCTGAGTGCGTATCCACACCGGGCAAGCTTGAAAAATATGCCTGGCCAACATCACAAACATTTCAAAACTGTTTACGTCTTTGCTACACAGTTGGGTAAGAAAGAGAAGGGTTTAATAAAGGAGTTTGTCCGTGGTCCAGTTTATCGTACTGCGAACAGCGTTAAAAATATATTTTCCGCGAAGGCCCTGGGAACGATAGCAACACATAAACAATATGGCGGAAATTTTGAGTTTTTAAAAATATTTCTTTTCCAAATTTAAATAAATTTTGTGTTTTTCTTTCAAATCTCAAGCCATGGAAAAACTGGAAAAGCCGCAGATTATTGTGCATGTGCAGAAGGGGTTGAACTACACAGCGTATGATGCAAAATGGATTCCGTCTAGTGCTAGATTTGTTGTGCTTGGCTCTCATCCAAAGGGAACGGGAGCCATGCAAATTTATGAAGTTTCTCGAGGCAGTGCTAACTTATTGAAAGATGTGAGTGGGTTGTTTTATGCAGTATATAGAAAATAGTATTTGTACAGTTTATTTTCTATAAACCAGCATGACAAATGTAAATATTATTTATATTACTTTAATACAGTAACAGTTCTGTACCAGTAGACAGTGGTCCAGTCAGGGGCGTAGCAAGCATCGAAAATATACAATTTGAACATCATTTTTCATGAAAGCAAAGGGCACTTTGCCACTGGAGAGAGAGGGCACTTTTTGTGTTTTTTGACACCCTCCCCCCCCCCCTTCGTGCCGTGGAGTTTTTCTTTGTGCCGTGGAGTTTTTGATTGTGCCATGGAGTTTTTGTTTGTGCTGTTGCACCTGTAGGCCACCATAGTTAATTGGGTAGTTTAAATACATCTGATTGGTTCATTGTAGCAGTAAGCCATGAGGGCAAAATCTGAACCACTCTATTATTGGCATTATAATTATAGCTGCCTGACTGGAAAGTTGGAAATTGCACACCCAAGATTTTGAAAATTTGATAGTAAATATACAGAAAGCATAAAAATTGCATGCCATGATATCAATCTTGGTTGTGTAATACAAACTTTCCACACTGCAATAGTATAACTCCTATTTTGAACATATATACATGCCTTATTCAACTGAACCTAGGTTTTTAATAATTTTATTATAATACCAACCAAATGTTGATGGTGGTTTAATTAAAGGTGGAAAAGAAGGCATCATTCAAATGTGGGACATTTGGTGCAAGTAGTCTACAACAAAGACATTTGGCAACAGGTGATTTTGAAGGAAAACTTATGATATGGTATGTTATATTGTAACAAACACTGTAATTAAAGATTTAAATGAATGACCTTTTGACCTTTTCAGAGGTTGGTTTTTAATTGTTTGTTTTTGTGTTCCCATTTAAGGAGCCTTGAGAAGACAGAACTGCCTATATATTCAGTTAAAGCTCACAAAGAAATCATAAATTGTATCAATGGTGTTGGCGGTGCTGGCATTGGTGAAGGTGCCCCTGAACTTGTGACTGGCAGCAGAGATGGTGAGTGGTGGGCACAGAGGTGGGGGACTGCCTCTCACCAAAAAAATCTGAATAACTGTGTAACAAATAAAAAAGCTGTAACAATATTAATTTTAACCATAAAAGCATTGGTGGGCTAAAAATTAAGATATATATTGCATGAAATTTATTCAGTTTAATTTAAATGACTCAGATTTCCAGGTACTGAAGGTAGTCGTATGTTGGCAACTTAATTCCCATTATCCCCCCTCCCCTATATATTTTGCCATCACTGGTGGTGGGGATGATGTATTTAGCTACTGGACTCGACGAGTGGCTTGCTAAGCAAGACTATTTTAATTAATAATAATTAATTAATTTATTATTAATTATTATATCAACCCTTTAATTGGCAATGCCTCCTACTTTACTAAGTACTGGGTTAATTATTCAATTGGTTAATTATAATATTTAATAATTATGAAGGTTCAGTGAAAGTTTGGGATCCCAGACAAAAAGATGAACCAGTGGCTAACATGGAACCTGGAGCTGGTCAAGATCACAGAGATTGTTGGTGTGTTGCATTTGGTATGGTACCGCAATTAAAGCTCAATACAAAGAAGATTTTTGTAGATGGTATTTTCAACTGGAAATTTATATTCATTTTTAGACCTGCCAGACCAACCAAAAGCAGTTGCAAAAAATGCTACAGGCTCTCAGGCAGGAATCAAACCTGTGGCCCTGCGATTCCACAAGTTTTTATTTCTGCCAGAGGGCCTATAGTTAATAAAATAATAATAATACATAGAATTTCTATAGCGCCAAATCTACAGTACTCTAAGGCGCTTTACGTTCATACCACATTAAAAATATGGACAAAACCTATAATTTACTAGTAAAAAAAAGTTTAAAAAGTTTAAAAATGTGACCTAGACCTAATTTACTTATAAGAAAGTTAAAAAAAGTGCGTTTTTAAATGTCTTTTAAAAATGCTAAAACTCGTCTCAAGTCTCAAGCTGTCTAGTAAATTGTTCCATAGTGTTGGGCCAGATCTTCCAAAACATCGTCCACCTTGGGTAACCTATAGTTGCATTTTTTGCAATTGTTCCTGGTATGGTCTAAAAATGTATACAAATTTTTGTTCAAAAATCCATCATTCTACAAAAAACCCATCTACTAAAATAAAAGTTAGCTTTAATGTTATAGTTTTATAAAACTCCAATATTTTCCATTTATATGTGTCACCAGGCAATGCATATAATGCTGATGAACGTACAGTAGCAGCCGGGTATGACAATGGTGACATCAAACTCTTTGATTTGAAGAACATGTCACTTCGTTGGGAGACGAATGTTAAGAATGGGGTTAGTGGATTATCCAAGTGTCTAAAAACTGACCAACTCCTTTGCACATTGGGAAAACTTAACTAGCCCTGACTTTTTAATAATATATATTTTCCAGGTATGTGATATCCAGTTTGACCGACGTGATATTTTAATGAACAAACTAGTTGCAACTACATTGGAATCTAAGTTCTTTTTATGGGATATGAGAACACATCATCCCAGCAAAGGTTATGCCATGTTGACTGAAAAGGTTTGATTAACTGTAGGATGACTACTAACTGTACAAATTGAAACAAAATTGATGGGGATGGTTTTTAAAATTTCAATTTATCCTTCACTCTACAGGCTCACAGCTCTACAATTTGGTGTGCTCGTCACCTACCACAGAATAGAGAAATTTTTATGACCTGTGGTGGAAGTGGATCCCTTAACCTTTGGAAATAGTATGTATCATTACTCAACTGCAAACAAATTGGTCCGCAGACTAAACTACACTAAATCTTTTTGTTCAATAGCTCTAATGCAGTTCTAGTCTATTCTCTACAGCCTAGTCCACCCGTAATGTAATGGCCCAGCAAGTGCCTTTCACCTCTGAGATTGTGGGTTCGACTCATGATATTGTACTTATGTGATTTTCTCCCGGTACTCCGGTTTTTTCCATGATCGGACATGAGTCACAAGGTGGCAGCCAGAGTCGCCGTTAGAAAGCTTTCGAATTGATCAAGTTGAGATGCATCCTTTGTAATTCAGCTTGGCCCTCATGCAGTTATAAGGATGATAAGCAAACCCTCACTTACTTATGTACTACAGAAGGAAACCAGACCAGGGATGGATTTAGTGGGGGGTGGAGGGGGTGCACCCCTTAGCCCTGACCAGAGGGGGTGCAGGGGAGGTGCTATTTTTCATGATAAAGCAAAAAATTATTAGAGACAAAATGAGATATAGTAATTTGAGTAATAACAAGATAATAAGTGAACTGTGAACGACAATTACAATTCAAATACAGTAGTCAAGCAAGACTTTGCAGTAGTGAAGCAAGTTGATGGGTGGGCGGCACACATGACGGACACAACTCGGCACCAGAGCTGGCAGAGCACCCGCCCCCTACCAGATCCATCCCTGAACGAGACTACCAGAGTACCGTGCAGAGAGGACCTGTGGCATTTACTTGCAGCACACTCTCATTCTCACTTGGGATATAATTATAATCAGAAAAGTACATATTTCTTAATTAAATCTCAGAATCATCTTTACTTATTTTTCCTGACCACTGCCTGCTACTAACTTTCCGTCGAAGGGCCTTCCCTCAAAGTTCTCCTAACCTTGTATTTTCAGGTAGTTGCATCCCTTGTCAATCCGAAGCGTTCTTATTATTGCCACTACCTACACTGGCACAAACCGTTATCTTTACACTACCCTGATACGAAGAATGTGCTCATACTAATTCTAACTCTGCTATCAATGGGAAAATTGTTGTCGATCTTGAGCAAGATTCGAACTTGTGCCTTCAATTTAATATATCTTATATAGTTCATACCCTGCAAAAAGAGTGATCAAAGATGGCGATGGTCAAGATATGGGTGCCGTTGGCTCAGTTGATCTCTTACAGAATGTGACTATTTCAACTCAACCTGTTTCTGCACTAGACTGGAGTCCAGACAAGGTAAAATTCTCTAGTGTCTCCTATGACTGTCACGCGATCGATATCCAATTATGATGACTGCCTTTAGTTTTCCTTAGGTTACGACCATAACTTCTTCCCTTCTTTTCACTTTGTTTTTGTACCATCTATTTTCTGGACAGATATAATACAAATGTCTATTCATGAAATAGTACAACTATATTATTATGAAATCAGTTTTGACAACACTATTATTTCTCAGATAATATTTAGTAAATACCTTCATTAAAGGTTAATAGTTATACTTTTTCAAACTTCTAATATATAGATCAACCTCATCACTGGAGTCTTTGTGGTGGTGTCAGGGGCGAACTGTGAGGGGGGTATGGGGGGATGGCACCCCCCCCCCCCCAAAAAAAAAATACGATTCATCCTGACATAGCTTTAGTGATGTATTGTAAGCGCTGGCTCTGCAGGGCATCATTGGTTTTGGCAGGGCAATTCTGCCAGACACCCCCTAATTAAAATGGGCTAGTTTCGCCTCTGGTTGGTGTACATATTCAGTGGTGTAACAGAGGAAGGGGGGGCCTTGGGCATATTTGGTGTGGGTGGCCCGTGTCGTCATTGTTTGACTGAGATATCATATTCATATTAAATCTTTATAGATGGTCTGGAAAATGCTCTGTCTATAACAATAACACTAATAAGAATAACTTTTGTTGAATTTGAGATGGAATAAAAAATCAGCTACGGTTGTCGATGGAGGCTTTATAATATTTAGCATTATTAATTTCGCATTTTCATTTTTCCCATTGATTCTAAATTGCATTTTTTACATTTTCTAATTTTCTGGGCAATACGCCATATCCGATCTAGGGGCCCCTAATTGTAATGGGGGCCCTTAGTATTTGAACTAACCCTACCCAATGAGCATTACGCCACTATGTATACTGTTACTTAGAACAAATTTGAAGGCTCAGAATGCAGGAAATGGCATTTCCGGATTACTGATTTCAAAAATTTTCCAGGGGACATGCCCCCCTAAATATGGCCATGATTGGCATATATTCCTACTTCGTTCTGCCAGTGGGAGGTTCCTCTTTGCCAATGTCCCCCCCCCCCCCCCGTGGAAATCCTTAAAAATGCCCAGAAGAATGTTCAAGTATTTCTTGTATTTATGCTTGACACCTTGACATGTTCTATGTCTATGATTATAATACATATTTTTTGTAACATATATATTAAACTTTCATATGATTGCTCAATATGGAAATTTTGTGCCAATATAGTTGCTTGGCTACATGACTGCCATTTTGTCCGGAAACCTCCAACTATATAAGCCCTGGGCTTATATTCTTTCGTAAGAGTTTTTGATGGGCTTATACAAGGGGGGGGGGCTTATATACGGGGGGGGGGGCTTTAGGGGCTTATACATGGGCAATCTTTTGTGTTAGTAATTAGTCGTAAACAGGAAAACAAACATGTATTAACAACATGCTTTGATTAACATGTTAAGCTATAAAGACAATGTTTTTAAATATTTTAATTAAAAGACAATGGCAATGTTGAATAACGTAGTGGGCTACTGGGCTTATATTCGGGGGGCTTATATACGGGTAATCTTTTGTGTTAGAAATTAGTCGTAAACAGGAAAACAAACATGTATTAATAACATGCTTTGATTACATAGTAAGCTATATTCGGTCACTGGCTTATATTCTGGGGGGCTTATATTTGGAATGAGGTGAGCGTCAGTACATGTGGTGGGCTTATACATGGGGGGGGGGCTTATATTTGGAGGTTTACAGTATCTGTAGACAGAGAAAAAAGGTAGGTAAAGCCTTTCAAAAAAATTCCTGCACAGCTTCTCCGAAAAAAAATTCCGACAAAGTTTCAAACTCAAAAAAATTCTTGCAGGGAAATTTCCCCTCCCTGGATATGTAATGGTCCACCCTTACTATCCATTATTTCATTATATCCTAGCTGAATCATACAATTCAAGACAATATTTAACAATTATTTGCCGAAGGAGAGGTGATTATTGGGGAATATTCACCGAAGCAACGTCGAGGTGAATATTCCCCGAGCCTGAGGCGAATATTGTTTTAGTATTTTTAGACAAGTCTTTTGTGTCTCGCTGCCATTTTGCAAGTTTCAGTTTTGCAAGTTTTGTTTTGTTACTTGTAGGTGAATATATAAATGTTCAGCTTAATACGTCAAATTTAAACAATAGACTTGTAGGATTTGTTATAATAATATTCACTTGTGCAAAAATACTAAATATTAACCCATTGACCAGCATAGCTTCCCTATTGACAAGTAAAATCGCTGGGCGTTAGACAAGTAAAAAAAAGTAGGGGACACATTGAACCGCATTGCGGCCCAATGGGTTAATAATATATACATGGTTCCGGAAAGTACTTAACATCATCTTGGCCATTCTTTTCGTGATGTAAGTGTATGTTCTGTATGCAAGAATATACACTATGTGCAAGATTTTAGAAACTTTATATCCAGGCTAAGGAAGTTTATAATTTATATTAAATATAGCATTCATAAATACAAATACTAATAAAGCTAAACTAAGAACTTTCCTCCTTTCACGATTGAAGCAAGCTTTAGAAAAGAATATTTTCTCATCAACTATCGTCAAAAAGGGAAACAAAACAGTACAAAATATAAAAATATATTAAAGCTTTGTACCTTTCGTACGTGTCAGTACTAGAAACCGACGGCGGTGCGATCTCTTCGTAATTAAATTGACGGTGTAGATTTCACTTCGCCTTCATCTTTTCCAGTTGATTCATCGTCCTGGATAAACATACCCTTTAAATTTGAACCCTCGACAAGCAAAATACATGTGAATAATATATATTTTATACTTTTAAAATGAATTTTTTTTGTACACAAATTTGAAATTTCTGAGCCGTCTCGCACATATCTCGAACTCGCGGGACCGGCGCGAATTTTGCTGCGTCCTGATTGGATGATGCCCACGCATGCGCTACGTTTACCCGAGTGTCAGGTTATCGCGCATGCGTGTATTTCAAAGGTTTGGTGAACACCAAGCTAACGCGTCCCACATGCACCACACCGGCCGATTGTTACGTACTTATTAGACTTGCCACAAGTCGACCATGGGGGAGGGAGGGCGCGGGGGAGGGAACACGCGACCCGAGCGACGAAGTCGCGAGTGGTCGACTTGTGTCCCTTGCAGGAATTTAAATCGCATTAAAAATTTTGGCGCGAATA